CTGAGTCACATGACCTGCTCCTCAGTAAGACACAGTGAGACTGAAGCAGAGGTTTTAGGTTCAGCATCAAATATCCTGAGAAGGCATATCATTTCACGGTACACTGATTAATTCTACCTTGGTGCTTATTGATCATGAATGGTTATCACCTTGCATATTTTTCTTTGGGCGTGGACCACAGGCTTATCCTTGGTGTGGCAGTTGCAGTGTCCTTTTTCCACAGTTATAACATGTCTTGTTATTGTGTTGGACAGCAGCCATAGCGTGTGAAGATTTAGATTTTGGATTACACACATTCAGAGACTCTTGAGCACATGAACCCCACATAAGAAATTGATCCCATGAGTTAATTGTAGGGAGCGATGTTTTCAGCAATTGAGCAAATATATCTTTTAGGTTACTTTGGACCATATGGAGAAAGGATTCTCAATCTCCCTGCCTGATTAAGGTCACACTGGAGAATGTTTGCACTCCCTTTCCACATATCTTTACCTGTTAGACCTGAGCACGGATGCCCTCAAACAGTTGAGCGAATGCTAGGGCAAAAATCAGACGGATAGGTGGAGGCATAATGTTGAGAACCCCCACACAGTTAAGAGGGGCCACTGTTTGGGTGATAACTATCACATCAGTTGTGGATAGCATATGTACACATCACTGGACCCATAATTTTACCCAGAAATCAGTGTTAGGGATATTTATCCCGGAAGGCGGCAGACTGGTGTTGACATGTCTCTCGTATAAACAGAAGTGTGCATGCCTATTATGCCTGTTGCTAAGAATTCTCTGGCTCCTCCTGCTATTGCTCCTGGTCCCTGGACCACGGGGGCTAGGGCAGGTGGAGGTGGATTATACAGAGGGGTTCAGGTCTGAACACATTAGGGATGAATTGGAATGTCAAGTGCATACCAGGCCTTCTTATTCAAGATCAGTGCCCAAAATCACTAATGCTCTTGTTGCTGAATAAGCACAAATCCCAACAGCTGTGTTGCAAAATCTAGTGGATAGTTTCCCAGAAGAGTGGATGCTGTTATAGCAGAAAAGGGGGAACAACACCATATAAATTCCCATGGTTTTGGAATGGAATATTCAACAGGCTGATGGATGTGATGGACTGAAGTGAGAGAGTGAAGAGTGTATCATTGTCTCTCTGCAGGTTGTGTAGTTGTGATGTCACAGATGAAGGCTGTGCTGCTCTGACTTCAGCTCTCAGATCAAACCCCTCACACCTGAGAGAACTGGATCTGTCTGAGAATAAACTCAGAGACTCAGGAGTGAAGTGTCTCTCTGCTGTACTGGAGAATCCTCACTGTAAACTGGAGACACTGAGGTAAGATCTTCTCTCTGAGAGTCACATGACCTGCTCCTCAATAAGACACATTCTCTAATAGTGAAAGTGATTAATTCCACTCTTGTACCTAAAGATTTGATCTCAAAATTTGTTGTGTGTGGTTCCTAAGCACACATCAGTGACTGTATGAGTGGACAAACGTTTCGTCATTGACTCCCACTGTGAGATTTTTTAAGCCATTTAGTGAAACTGAAAGTTGCCATCTTTGACTGAGTTTTGCACAGCAGATCAAAATTGGAGCCAAAGTATGTGCAGTAGATACAGTTAATCAGACAGTGTGTCTGCCTCTTGCCAACCCATATTGATTGTGGACACACATTAAGAGCTATTACCTACTGTTAGTTGCCTTGGCTTATGTCATCAGTTCATTCACGTACGTTGGTTTGTTAGTTATGATATCAGTATAATGAGCTTAGACATCAAATGAGCAACATACCAGAAGAATTACAAAGAAATGCACACTGAGGGTCAGTTAGAACAGTTTACAGCAGAACAAGACATGGCTTTGCTACAGAACTGGGAAGTGTGTTGGCATTCATAAGGGTTGACTGTCATGTCCAAAACTGTCAATCACCTCATCAACCACATTCGGTTAATTATCATCAGACGACTCCTATGAAAAACATTTATTCAGTTCAATTCAATTTTATTTATATAGTGCTTTTAACAATGGACATTGTCATAAAGCAGCTTTACAGAAATCTGGATATACAATTTACATTTAAATTAAGGTTGTATCCCTAATAAGCATGCCAGAGGCAATGGTGGCAAGGAAAAATATCCTGAGACGATATGAGGAAGAAACCTTGAGAGGAGCCAGACTCAAAATGGAACCCATCCTCATCTGGGTGACACCGGATAGTGTGATGATAAATCAGCAGCGTCAAGCAGAGCTAAGTGTGTTAGCTTTAGTGAAAGAAAGCCTTACAGAACTTCACCAGAAGCCAATCAAAACCAGGTGTATGCCCATTCCCCTTGCCACTGAGAGCAGTGGCACTCTGTCAAGCTCATCTGCTGACTGCTTCATCAATTTTGGCAGATTTTGGAAGATGCTTGTTAGGACTTGGACTAACTTGGCCTCTAGAGGCCGCTATTGCTTCTGTGTTTTGTGTTTTTGTTTTGACAGCCATGTGCTTTTGTTTTTCCATGTGCCTTGTGCCCCGCCTAGTCCTCATTACTCACACCTGTTTTCAGTTTGCCCCCTTGATTTGTTTGTGTATTTATACCCCCTCAGTTTGGCCTCTTGTCACGGAGTCTTTTTGCTGTTATGTTTAAGACTAGTAACCTCTGTTCCGTGGTCCTTACTTATGTCTTTGTGTTGTTTTTGGTACTTTGCTTTCTTGTGGACTTTTTTGGACTTTGTATTTACTGTTGTTGGATCTTCTGAGCGTTTGGATTTTTGCCTCTTTTTTTCTGATTTTTTGGTTTCTTGGACTGTGCACTTTTGGATTTTTATTTTTTTTTCCCTTGTATCTTCTGAGCGTTTGGATTCTACTTTTGTTATTTTTTGGCCTTGGATGTTGGATTTTAATTAATAAACTGTTTCCTTTACTTACTCTCGCCTCACTCCTCTGCACTTGAGTCATTCCCCTGGTGGCCTAGTGGGGGTTTGCTGGATTACTACGCCGGCGACCCGGGTTCGATTCCCAGCAA